GGTCTCAGACTCCTGACATAGTGATCCGCCTGCCTCAGCCTCCCAAAGTTCTGAGATTACAGGCATGACCCACTACACTGGCTGATTGGTGAATTCTTATCCATTCTGCCGTTCTGTATCTTTTAAGTGGAGGGTTTAGGCTATTTACATTCAATGTTAGTATTGAGATGTGAGGTACCTTGTGATATTTGTGGCCTGAATACTTTTTTTAAAAATTGTGTTATTGTTATATAGATCCTGTGGGATTTATGCTGCTTTAAGGGGGTTCTATTTTGGTATATTTTGAGGATTTGTTTCAAGATTTAGAGCTCTTTTTAGCAGCTCTTGTAGTGCTGGCTTGGTAGTGGCAAATTCTCTCAGTATTTGTCTGGAAAAGACTGTATCTTTCCTTAATTTATGAAGGTTAGTTTCACTGGATACAAAATTCTTGGCTGATAATTATTTTGTTTAAGGAGGCTAGAGATAGGACCCCAATCCCTTCTAGTTTGAAGGGTTTCTGCTGAGAAATCTGCTGTTAATCTGATAGATTTTCCTTTATAGCTTACCTGATACTTTTGCCATGCAGCTGTTAAGGATCTTTCCTTCATCTTGACTTTAGATAACCTGATGAATATGTGCCCAGGTGATGATCTTTTTGTGAGGAATTTCCCAGGTATTCTTTGAGGTTTTTGCATTTGGATGTCTAGATCTCTAGCAAAGCCAGGGGAGTTTTCCTCAATTATTCTCTCAAATATGTTTTTTCAAACTTTTAGATTTCTCTTCTTCCTTAGGAACACCAGATATTCTTATGTTTAGTCATTTAACATAGTCTGGAACTTCTTGGAGTCTTTGTTCATTTTTTTAAATCCTGTTTTTTGGTCTTTGATGGATTGGGTTAATTTGAAATCCTTGTCTTTGAGCTCTGATTTTTTTTTGCTTGTTCAATTTTTATTTATTTTTTATTTTTAATTTAATTTAATTTAATTTAATTTTTTTTTGGAAGGGAGGAAGAGAGGAAGGCAGGAAGGGAGGAAAGGAGGCCGGGAGGGAGGGAGGGAGGGAGCTTGTTCAATTTTTATGCTGAGACTTTCCAATGCATTTTGCATTTCTCTGTTTTCTTGATTTCCAGAAATTGTGATTGTTTTTATTTATGCTATTTCACTGAAAAATTTTCCTTTCATATCCTGTATCATGTTTGCAATTTCTTTAAGTTGAACTTTACCTTTCTCTGGTGTCTCCTTGGTTAGCTTAATGATTGACCTTCTGAATTTTTTTTTTCTGACAATTCAGAGATTTCCTCTTGGTTTGTGTCCATTGCTCATGAGCTGCTATGATATATTGGGGGTGTTAAATAACCTTGTTTTGTCATATTACCAGATTTTTTTTTCTGGTTCCTTCTCATTTGGATAGACTATGTCAGTAGGAAGATCTGGAATTCAAGGGCTGCTATTCAGATTGTTTTGTCCCATGGAGTGCTCTCTTGATGTGGTATTCTCCCCTTTCCCATAGGAATAGGGCTTCTTGAGAGCCAAACTGTAGTGATTGTTTTGCTCTTCTGGGTCTAGCCTCTCAGTAGAGCTACTAAGCTCTGGCTGGTACTGGGAAGTATCTGCAAAGAGTCCTGTGATGTGATCCATCTTCAGGTCTTGCAGCCATGGATACCAGCACCTGCTCCAGTGGAGGTAGCAGGGACTGAAATTGGACTCTGTAAGGGTCCCTGGTTGTGTTTTTGTTTAGTACACTGGTTTTCTGTTGGTTGGCCTCCAGCCAGGGGGTGGTGCTTTCAAGAGCACATCAGGGCCAACCACGGTGGCTTATCCCTGTAATCCCAGTACTTTGGAAGGCCAAGGCAGATGGATCACCTGTGGTTAGGAGTTCAAGAACAACCTGGCCAACATAGTGAAACCCCCTCTCTACTAAAAATACAAAAAAATAGCTGTGCGTGGTGGCAGGTGCCTGTATTCCCAGCTACTTGGGAGGCTGAGGCAGGAGAATGGCTTGAACCCAGGAGGTGGAGGCTGCTGTGAGTCGAGATTGAGCTACTTTATTTCAGCCTAGGCGATGAGGAAACAAATTTGCCCTACCATTGCCTAGTTAAGTATTCTGGTTTTTCAGATGGTAGGCAGGGCCATAGAGCTCCCAAGAGATTGACCTTTGTCTTCCGCTACCAAGGCAGGTAAAGAAAGACCACCAGGTTTGTTTGGGAAGGGATAGGCATGTCTGAGCTCAGCCTCTCCTTGGATGGGGCCTGCTGCAGCTGCTGTAGAGGATGGGCATGTGGTTCCTAGTCCAGTGGAATTATATTCTAAGGGAAATTAAGGCTGCCCTTGGTGAGTCATACAGGTTGCCAGGGAAGTCGGGGAAGCCAGCAGTCACGGGTTTTACCCCACTCCCGCTCCCTCACAGTCTGCAGTCTTAAAGGCCCATCTCACGTCTCACTCCCACCGTGAGCAGCAGAGTAGCACTGAGTCTGTTTCCAGGAAGCCAGTGACCAGGGCAGAGAATTTGCCTCAGACCAGAAGCCTCCCCATTGAGAAAGACTCAACAGTTTTTCGGCATCGCAGGGAGGCAGCAACAGTGATCTAGTTCCTTCAAAGGGTCTGTGGATTCTCCTGGCTTTCCTGGTATGTTTCTGTGGTAGTTGCTGGAGCAAGTTATTTTGTGAATCTTAACCTGCTGCTCTGTCTGTCCACGTGGGAGCTGCAAGTGAGTTCTCCCTCCTATCTGCAGTCTTAATCCCTCAACCAGTAAATCTTTAAAAAACAACTCTCATGCTCTCAGTCTCCACTCTTCAAGAGTCCTTCCTTTCCTGACTTTACGTGGCAGGTACAAACTGTATCACTTATTTGGGAATTAATCAGATGTTGCTCTGGGAGTCTCCCTTATATTACTTCTATTTTAACCTTATAATGGTATTTAATATTTTCTCTCTTTCCTCAGCTAGATTTTGAACTCCTTGGAGGTAAGAGGAAGATTTCATAATTTTGGGTGTCCTCGGTAACCAAATACTATTTTCCATATATTACCTCCTTGACAATACTGGCTCATGAATTGTTAAAACACTTTTAAAAGCATTCACAAGAGCTCCTTCCAGAGCATAGATTTCACTGCCATTGCCTTTTCACTCTCCATTTTCTCAAACATTAGGTGCATTGTCTAATAACAGACTTCAGAGAGGTATTTTATTTCTCAAAGAAACAAGAAACTCTCAGGGAGAGAGAATGGAAGTTTTTTTTTTTCTTTAGGGAAAGATAAAACAGAGGGACTTTGGAAACCTTTATTTTTGAGCCCTCAGTTTATTTGTAAACTTAAGGTAATAGATAAACATATTTTCCTGATAGAGTTGCGATAAATGGTCAGTGAGGAAATGTATGCAAAGCATGTAACAGTGCCTTGTACACAGTGAGTCATAGTAGAGGTTGGCCGTTATCATTTTGAGCATTCACTATGGACGTGATAGTTTGAAGGAATTTCATAGAAAAAAATCCACTTGGAGTATATTGAATTGGTTTATCTATTCTTTTTAAAAATAATAATAAACACTTATATGTTGTTATTATTTCTATGCTTAAGTAGTGTTCTAGGTTCAAACTCATTTGAACCTTTAAATGCCCCAGTTAAGTACATGCCATATTATCTTCATTTCACAGATGAAGCCAATAACACATAACAAATTATCCAGTCACACAGCTAATAAGTGGTAGAGCTGGAGTTTGAACCCATGTGCTTTGGTTATAGAGTCCATGCACTTAGCCATTATAAAATAGAGGGCATCTTCTAGAAACATCTATTCAAAGTCTAATTTGTGCTGAACACTGAGGTTAGAGAGAAGAATAAATACAGTCTGCTTTACTGGCTTTCACAGACTAAGGTGGGAGATAGACAAGCTAGTACACAATTACTGAATAATACATTAGGAACTGTAATTAGGGTTATCTTATGTCCCAGTGTGCCTGAGATAGTCCTAGTTGATACCTGTCATTCAGCATAATTATTAATAGTGTTTTATTTGACATTCAGCAGTGTGTTGATTTAGAAGATGGATTACATAGTCTCTGTTAATTCCACTAAGGGATGCATGAGGTGTTCTCGCAGCTCAAAATGGGAAGGACTGACTTCCTGGAGTAGGGCTTCACCTGACTGAGTCTTATAAGATGAGAAGCAGTTTTTGACAGATAGGCAAGGGATATTTGAAGTAGAAGGACGGGGCATAGGAGTGTGAGAGTACTGGGTGTGTTTAGAAAAAAGCAAGTGGATTGGGACTGCTATATGATCAGGTGATTGTAAAACCTGGATGCACATTAGAATCACGTGGGGAGTTTTAAAAAAAACTCCATGGCCAGGATGCACCAATTAAACCAATCTCAAGAGCTGATTGTTAAAGTTCTCCAGGAGATTGCAATAGGGTTTGATAACATCCGAGGTAGAGAGCCCTTGAGAGACCGCAAGTATATAACGGTAGATGGGAGCGGGGAAGTAAGCACAGATCCGCTCGTGGAGGAATATCGTCCCGATCAGTGGTGCTTCAAGTCCTCCGTGAATAAAGTTTCTGGTTTTCTGCAGAGCTTCAGTCTGGTGGGTGCAGGTGTCTTGAAGCCCTTTCACTACTGGCTCTTTTCTGTCAGGGCAGCAACATGAGTGGAAGACAAGCTGTGTATAGTAGCTTATACCTTATATTCACAACCCTCTAAAAGTGAGTGTTACGGCCTAATTCGGCTGGTAAAGGGTCTTTCCATGGCCCAGAAAATCTTTTAGCAGTGCTAAGACTGCCAAATATTATTAGACAATGTGAGGTAGAACATACTTTTATGTATAAGGATGGGCATGAGAATACCTTTGAACAATTATTTGAAAAAGTACATATATATGGACATATATATCTCCATAGGTTTCTGAAGAAAATTGAAGTTATTTTTTCCTATCTCTTGATTTCAGATGGAACATGTCATTATCAGGACTGATTTAGTGTATAAAAGTGAACTTAGAAGGGCAAATAATGATGTCCACACTTTACCTTGCAGAAAGAAAATCTGCCTTGCAACAAGTTTATGGATAGTATGGAGTTCCCCTGCCGTGAATATGTGAACACTCTGTTCTTCCGGATGGCACTTGGAATGACGTGGAGGTAACCTCGATTGAGCAAGCAGGTTTTACAGAGCCAGGGCAAGGGAACCCCTCATTTTGAGCTCCATGCGGTACAGGCTTATACCTGGTTCTCTGGCTTTACCCTTGTCAGTGTGTCTTCAGAGCTACGTGGAGTCCTCATGGCCACCTGCAGCCTGCCTCCCTCATTTCTGGAGCTGTTTTGTGTACCTGAGACCCTGGAATTCCCAATCTCAATAGTCCTAAGCCTGCTTCTAGTACTAACAGAGTCCCCTTCCTTTGGTATTTTCTCTTGGAAAGAACCAATCATGAGGTCTGTGGATACACCAGTGGGCTTGATGGGTGGTTCAGGGGTGGTGGGTGGGGATGGAGCTTGGATGTGCGTGATCCACGTGCATAGACTGTCTTAATTGGCTCACACGTGTGCAAGTCCTTTCATTGTGTGGGATAGAGCTGGGGTGGAAAGAGAAGGAAGAGCTGTTTTTTTCCCCATGATACTATGTCCTGGCACAGAACTCCAAGTCCTCTTACAATAATAAATTTGAATCTAGGCTTCCAGATTCAAATTCCAGATTATGAAGGCACTTCTTTCTAGGTTACAAGAGATAACTTATGATATTTATTTAAATGTTGTCAGGTGTTTTATGCAATTAAAATATTTAGGAATAGGCATTTTCAGTGGGACTCTTGATCTGGACTTTTCAAAAGTTAGAGACAAGCCTAAAGACAAGTCACAAAAATGGTCTATAGAGAAATTTGAGTCACCCGCTTTGCAAGGAAGGTAAAAAACTTGCACCTGAGAGGAGGGTAAAAAACCATGTACTTGCTTGTTTCGAATTAGCTGAATCTCATTCTTCCAATATTCTATATAACATTAAATTAAACGATTCATCCAACTATTGTCCCAGCACTGGATGTAGGTGAGAAAACTCTCTGTCAAAATCTGTGACTAGATCAGACCCCTCTATTGCAGAACCAGAAGGAGACCTTGTTGGTATCTTGAGACTTGCTGGTGGATATTGTAAGGGGTGAAATCAATATTAATTGGGTACCTCCCAAGTGTTAGGCACTGTATTAACCACTTTGCTTTTGTTATCTTTCTATTCCTTGCAAAGCAGGAATTATTATTCAAATGTTAAAAATGTAGAAACCTTTTTCTGGGTTATTAAACAACTTGTTCAGGTCCTGCAACAAATAACAGGATTTGTTTTATTGATTCCTAACCGGGCTCAGCTTCTTCTAGAGGCCATGCTTTTTCCTAACTGATTCCTTTCCATAGCGTGGGAAAAGTCCTCCAAGACAAAATTACAAGCAAAGTCATTTTTACTAAGAAGTTGAGTTTGACTTTTTGAAAATGACTTTTATTTTCTTCCTCACAGTTCAACCCCCAACCCCCACCCAGCTGTCTCTCTTCCTCCTTTGTCTTTTGAGTAAATCACTCTAATTATTAACTTGTAAATGAAGCTCTAAATAAGCTATTTAAGTTTATTCCTATTCGATGGGACAACAGATTAGAAATCCACTGCCCCCTGGGGTGGGAACGTGTTAGATTTCCATGCTAATGCCTCATGCATGTTTTATGCCTTAGATTAGTAGCTAATGCGGTCATCGATCATCTCGTGTCATATAAGCTACAAACCTGCTGCTTTGAGCTAATTCTTCTAAAAACTTGTTTCCAAATCAGCATTCAAAGTCCAGACCAAGGTTTCTGGTTTGGAAAAGAGGTTATATTTGCTTTCGGTGAGGGGTCAAAAACATTTTTCTACCTATTTATCCTCTTTGTAGATAATAAACAGTGTAATATATTATCGGAATAAGTTAAGTTTGAGAACCTGCCAAAGCAAAAATGTTTCCTAAAATCTAGACCTGAAAGCACCTTTATAACCTATAAAGTTTATTTCTGTGCTACTTATAAGTAAAAAAATTAAAGGTTTATAATTTAAAAGTCTATTCAATTTATATTTGAGTTGCTTAAGCATTTATCTTATTAAGCAGGAAATTGAGAGCATTTTTCCTTCAAGTTGCATAGCTCTGCCATTAGAGAGGTCAAGTTCAAGTTCTGCTTCAACCACTTAGTAACTGTGTGACCTTAAACAAAACTTTTTGTCCTTTGTGAGTCTCAATTTCTTTATTGAGAAATAAGCCAGCTGGATTATTAATAAACCAGCTACAACTTAGTTTATTGGAAACATGAGGCACATGATAATGATTTCCTCATAGGGTGGTTATCAGGGTCAACGGAGGCAATGAATTTAATGTATTTACTAAGTGCCAGATATATGTGACTAACTATCTGGCACTTAGAAAATACAAATGTGTATTTACTTACTAAATGCTAATGTAAACAGTTGTGATTATTTGAATCTTCCATGTAGAAAATCATCTTGGCTAAAATACGATAAATAAAAATGTAACCGATGAAATGAGGGTATTAGTATCTTATATCTTCTCTTTCCTGATAAGTGGTAGAAACCAGCCACAACTCAGTCCTAGGCACTGGAAAGCTGGTGGTAAGATATATGTTTACTCTTCAAGAAGGATCCTTTTAATCTTTTTAGAATCTGAGTCAACCCTATAGCTAAGTGAATAGTAGAGGAAGAAGTAAAGGACATTGAACAATGGCAGCTTCGAGGGGAGCCATCTCAATACCGGGCAGGAAAACATTCCCTACAGCCTAGAAAGAGCAAGTTCACAGTGAGATTGACACAGCTGGTCATGAAGAGGTATGCTACCACCGTTAAGAGAAAAAGCTGAAAGCTGACTGATGCCAATGCTCTTCCTTGTTCTCTTGATGTCCTCCTCTTTTTATGCATACTTCTCTGAAAACTTCCACATTAATATATTCCTAAATGGACAGGGATAGCATTTTTGTAAAGAATTTCTGGGGGAATTTCTCCAGGAGCAATCATGAGGGAGACAGCACTGCTCTGGTGCTGGCCGAGTGCTAGATCTGTGGGGCCCTCAGGTTGGCTGGCAGCTCTCTTGGTTGCAGCTACATCACAAGAACCTGGGGAGTGTTAGGCAGCCATATGAGGCTCTGAGTGATTCTCTGGCTGCCAATAACCTCATGAGTTTCAGGCTCAAGAACAGAAGTTTTGGTGATCAGGTAATATTTAATTCAACAAGAAAGTCCCAGAAGTATAAGTGGAACCAGTTATGACAGGTTGAGAAGGTTGGGCAGTCTGGGTTGGACAATCATGTCTTCAAGTGTTTGCTGGAAAATTTCTTATATAATCTTGTTTTTTGTTTATTTAATTTTCAAGGGAATTGGGTTGAAGCTGTCACTAAATCTGCAAACTTATTGCAGAATTCAGTTAGTTTTGCTCTTTTTGTTGTGATCCTTTGCAGTATATTTTAAATTATAACAGGATCTTTAAAGACAATTACAGGGTAGTTTCCTGACAGGATACCTGCAGTTTTCCTGATCCCTTTTATTTCTATATGCAGAGTAACTTTAGACATATAAATATGTGTATGTTTGTTAGGCTCTCCTCTTTTAAGTAGAGCTCAGATATATAATTTTATAATTCATTGAGAACAATTTTGTTTAGATAATTTGTCTTCCCTGTTGAATGTGAGATTAGGATTTTTTGTTAACAAATCAAAACACCTTTCACATTTAGCTTAAGCATTACCCAGGCTCTTAGTGTAATGAAGAGAACATGATACATGCTTAGCACATTGACAACTGAACAAGCTTGAACTTCAGTAAAGAAACATACAGGTATTAAGCTAAAGAAGAAAGTTTTCAGAGACTCAAGATGGTAGTGGGCTTACTACGTCATAGAGGTAAAGTAAATGTTCTAGGTATGTTATCAAAAATGAATCGGAATAAAACTATGGTTGCAACAGTTTTCAGGAGAAAATACAGGAACTGAAAATTGCTTTCTGTATTAAAGGATAGAATAATAGTGTGGAAGAATGTCATAGAGTGCAGGCTCTGGAGACAGACACCTGGATGCAAATCCTGAGATTGCTCTTTTGATCTATGGGATCCTGGGCAAATAGCTTAGCTTCGTCTCTGTAAAAGAGGCATAACAATAATATCTGCCTCAGTGGGGTGTTGGTAGGATTTGAAGAAGTAGCTCACATGAATGTCTTGGCCAAGAGTAAACACGTAATAATGAGGACCATTATTATTACTACCACAAATTATTCAGGAGCATCATAAACCTTTTACTAGAACATCTTGAGAAGACTTGAATGTTCTTCTTGGGTTTCTGATTTTTGAAATCTGATTTCTTAGAGATGCCAGAGACAGAAGATGAAGTCAAAGGTAACAGTCTCTGTAGTGCCCTGTGATTATGTGTTAGATTTCCAGCTGGGCTCCAGATCCTGTACTGATGTTCTTTCTCTTTTCCCTTACTGTGCTGTTCCGCATCCTGGTGACTTTGCTCGGCTAAACCAGTTGCTTTAGTGGCATAGCCAGAACTGTGAGATTCGTCCTGCTTCCCCATTTCTTACCAGATTCTGAAAATGATAAAGATAGCATGATATCAAATCTGAGGATACCATTGCTCTGAGAGGAAGAGCTAATGCCTGGATAAGCAAGCAAGGAATCAGAGGTCACAACTAAACTGAAAGATAAAATTTGCTAAGTTAGATACATAGTTTATTTTTTGAATTTTAATATAAATGATATTCAGGCAAGGCTTGGACAGAGTTGACTCAATCTAGATAATTTTCTTCAAGGTCAGAATGAGACTGAAATATGACCTGGTTCCTATTACATTCTGCACCACAGCTGACTATTGCTGTGCATGCAGGATTTGGTCTAAATTCCTCAAGTCCCTAGATCTAAAATGATGTTCACTAACATGGGAAGACTAAGCAGCTATCTAGACTCACTCACTAGGCAAATGGCTTACTGGTAAATACTAATCTTGAAGTGCATGTGTTATAAATTAAGCCATGATTTTATCTTCATTATTTAATATAAGCAGACTATAAAGACATTCATATTCTCATTGTGCTATGCATTTCATGGATTTGCTCATGGCTTACAAAAAGTCAGAAGTAACA